CTTTTATTTTTCTTTTCAATTTTTTACATTTAAAAAATCAAAAGAATTCACAAAATTTCCTGAGTAGATAGGCATAGCTACTATTCAGGTACAGCTAATATATAGTATTGTTTTGAATTTTTTTTTCAATATTAGCTAGATGTATTTATGTAAGCAGGTTAGCATTTAACTTGCTACACATGTATGTAAGAGATGTTGTTTCTTTCACAATATATACCATGTTATATACAATATTAAATAAAGAAATGATGCTTACCTATGAGAGGAAACCCTCCCAAAAAAAAATATTTCAATTTTGAACTTTTCATATTGTATATTAATTTTAATATACATATATATTTCTTTATTACTTAAATAGTTTGTATAAGCAAGTTAACATTAAACTCACTAATTAATTGGTCATGTAAAAGATGTTATTACTTTCTTTATATATAAATTTTTCAATTTTACAATTTAATAAGGCAATGATATTAATTTACTTAAAAAAAAATAATAATTAATTCTCTTAATTATTATTTAAAACAAAAAACTAGATATAACAATCATTATTTATATTCAAATAACTGATTAAATAAGATATACATATTACCGTAATTAATCTTTTGTATCTACAGTATATTACTTTAATTATTAAATTATAAAAAAAAAATTTTTTTTGTCATTTTTTGACACCATATCGTTTGATAAAGCTAAAAAGGAATGGTTTGAAGATCATATTACGTTATTGAGATAAAAAAAAAGTTGTTCTTATTGTTACTTGCATAATATGACTCCAATCTGCATTACACAATAGAAATGTAGATTTTTTTGAGAATTTTTCCAGGAATGTGAGCCTCTATTTCAACTATTTTTCTTTACCTTTTAACGTTCTGGTCTCGAGTAATAATTATAAGCGAAAGCACAGATACGAAAATCGCATATTTGTTTAAATAGTGGTCAAATCCGGCTTTATTGTATAAATATGTCAGTTTTATTCGGAAATTAAATCCGGTTTCCGGTTATGGGGCAACCTGCTTGTGACAAGGACGATAATTCGAGGATTACCTTGCTTAATAATAAGCATTTGATTGGATGACAAGGATGACATTTATACAATTACGTAAATATTTGATCATGTGACGTAATCTTTTTTTTTTTTTAAAGCAAGCATTCAAACATTCGATATTTCCAGTTGAATATAAATTTAAGCAACTATGAAAAAATTCCTCGTATCTACTAATTCTCAAAACAATTCATCTAATTTCATATTTAAAAGTCAAACTATTTATTAAAACATGTCGCAAAACTTGCGTAAAAAAGTAGCTGTTAAGGCTTCTCGACGTAACGTCGGTTTGTCGCCCAATATTTTGTCTCAGGGTGGCACGCCCTCAAGTAGTCGTCATAACACCGATGAAGAGGATGCTTGGAGTGAATTTTCAACAGAAACTGTTGATTCATGGACCTCAATTGATAGCAAAATAAATGAGGATAGGATCTCCGAAGACGTTGACTGGAAGGAAGAAGTTTTACAAAGTATTGATAATTTAGAAGAAAAGAGGACTAGGTGGATAGAAATTTCATGTTTGTTAATCAAATTTTAGCTTTTTTTCTAAATTTTGATCTCAAAACCTTTTTTACAAATTCACACAATTAGCGTACGAGAGAATGCGTTATCGACGTTGATTCGTCTTCTCTCTCGCAAATATACCTTTGATCTGCTTGATTCTAGGTCGTATTCATTGCTCGACCTTTTATGTCGTTCCATTAAAAAGGAAAAAAGTATTAAGGAAAATCGATTGGCAACTAAAGGTTCAGTATGTGGCAAATGCAGTTGATTGTTTAGATGATAGACTGACTTTCTTTATTAATTACAGTGATGTCGTTACTTTTTATTACTCTTGGTGAAGAACAAGATAAGATGTATCAAACAGTTTTGCCATTATTAAAATACACTAGTATAAATTCGGCCTCTCCAGAAGTCAAGGGTGCAGTAAGTATTCTGGATAAGATTGTAATAGTCCTAATTATCAACATTAACTGTGTAATCAATTTCCAGTGCATCAAAACTTTGGGATTAGTTTGTTTTATAGCGGGTTCTCACACTGATGCTATAGAGCTCCTTGAATTTTTTTCTAATATTATAATTACCTCCGGTAAAAGTGTGAATGCTACGAATAATCCGGTCACAATTACGAGCGCACTTAACTCATATGGCTTACTCTTTTCTGGACTGTGGGGAAATAGTCGAAAGGGATCAATAAGGTCTAGAGAGGAATTTGAACGTGTTATGCCGGGACATATCAAACAATTAGAATCCACTTCCATGGAAGTTCGTGTTGCTAGTGGCGAAAATATAGCTTTAATGTTTGAATCACTGGGAATTGGGCGAAGAGTTGAGCAAAACGACAAATGGGGAAATCACGACGTAATTATTTTTAAAATAAACTTACTTTCGTGAATAATATAATGATATTTACTCATTGTTATCTATTCAAGTTTGACGAAGAAGAAGAAGAAGAAGAAGAAAGCTACAATGGTATGGAGCATTTGACACACTTGCTTAATACCTTAGCTACAGATAGTAATCGACATCGGGCAAAGGCGGATCGTAAAGTTCAAAGATCGGTCTTTAGAGACATTCTGAAAACTGTCGAGGTTAATGTCAAATATATATTTTTGCATCTTACTGTCCTTTTAATTATCCGAATACTGATAATAATTTAAACACGCAATGATAGGATGGAGATCGTATACAAGAAAAGCTTAAGTTTAATAAGAAAACGGTTTATTTCTCAACATGGGCCAGAATTCTACAATTGAGGGCTTTTCGCGACGTATTGGCTGACGGTTTACAAGCGCATTTTCTCGAAAATGAACTGCTTCAAGCAATTTTTGAATTTGTACCTCCACCTACTTTAGATTCTCCGCGTAGTAGACCAGATCACGATTTTAACACTGGCTCTGATACGGACACTTCAGTTTCCAAGAGAAAGACAAAGGGCAAACAAGCGAAGAACAGGAGGGAGAATAAACGAAGGGGGGATCTCCTTGAAGTCGGATAGCGTGCTTATTTTTGACTACAAATAGTTGTGAATATACATACCTATTGTATATTGATTTAACAGTATTTTATGGGAGAGTTCACGTATATACGTAAGAAAATATTTGGATATTTACGGGTTATCAAGAATAAATCTTATTAAATACCACCTTTTGTATGATTTATTATTATTATTATTAAATATTATTTTTAAAAATATCATGAAAAACTAGCATTTTAGCATTCCTTTGTGAATAGGTTTTTATAGTAATGTTTATATATAATAACTTTTTTTAAATGACAGTCAAATACAAATTGCATATAATGTATATTGTATATACATTAAAATTTTATCAAAATGAAAACTTATAATACGTATGTTACAGTTTGCCAAAGTATCATTAAAATATAATTCTTATATCCAAACAAAACAGAATGATTGAAGATAGAAAAATTATATAAAAAAGTTGAATTTATTTAATTTTTAAATATTTAAAAATTTCTGTAACATTTAACTAACTAGTAATTTTCAATTTCAAATATTAAAAACTGAATTAGAAAGATCTGTCATTGTGACATGAGATAATGAAAAACCATTTTAAATAATAGAAACCATAACGATAAAAATCGATCTAAATTCGTGTAACTCTCCCTGCACGTCATCAGCGGTATTTTATTTATATTAATTTGACACTAAACCAAATCTAAAATTGTACCCAATTAAAGTAAAAGTACAGTTGATTAAACATCTATATGCAAAAGTGAAGAAATTCTCACAATCACAAATTATCCAAACTTCTATTATTAGCACAAATGATACATGATTATGATCTTCGCTTATATAATTACATCATCAACAAGTACTCTTTTTTAAAATACCTACAGGCACTAATGTAAAAAAAAAAGAAAAAACCTGCAATGTCCTTTTTCCCAAGATGAACGGAGTATATTGGCAACATCTTTTGATTCCAAGAACCAACTCGTTCTATTTCTTTTTTTTTTTTTGCGAATGGATGGGTATAGAAATTATGGAAATGAAAAAGGCATCAAATTTACTAATAATTTATACGCGTGATAAACGCGAGACCCAAATCATGATTAAATGATACTCCATACTAACAATTACGCCAAAATTGAAATGTCGCGTCAACCATGAATGTTAATTAAAATCACTTCTCCGGCCATCCCTTCTCCCCATTTTCACCTTCTTCTAAAGCATCCTGTTGACTGATCACACGTAGCACGGATTTTTTACTCGATTCTTGCATTTCACCCGCGATGATCAACTCATCCAGCACAAAGTATGCCTAGAGTGTTTGAATTGATGAGCGAATGCGTGTTGATTTAGAGATTGTTGAGCTAAAAGGGGAATGATGAAATACCTTTTGAAAATTGAAAATTAGATCCAATTCGCAGACCTAAAAGCAAATCCGCATTCAGGACAATATTCAATAATGAATCGATCAAAGTGATGAGGCCAAGACCTTACATTTCCAAAATATCTATCCAGAATTTCCACATATCGATGAATGATCTCAAGTGTTATTAATTCGTTATCTGTAGATGAAATTCCCGTGACGAAAAATAAACTGGCGTATCTATGTTATCGAAGAGTGGCATAGTGAGCGCGGGTTTGTTGATCGAGAATAGCGCGTGAGGGAACGAACCAGCTATTTACCTTCTATATACAACCTTCTCATCTGTGGTGGCACAGATTTCAAATCAATACAATGATTAATAATCGTAAAGATCTGAAATAAAAAGACAGTTTAAGTACGAAAAAGCAAACCTTTATATTCCAAAAAATTACACATTTTAGTACGTCGGGACAGCACCATTTGCGTCACTTCCTTAACAATTTTTTGTTTTTCTTTAGGTGAAAGTGTATTAAACCATTTTGCTAATCTTACTTTGCCCTGTCTGCTTACTAGCAGTACATATTTGATCTAGGGAAGAATTATAAGCATGAGCTCTGGAATTTATTCTCGTCAGGTGAATTTTAAGGGTAACTTCAACCTTACCCCCATAGCTGTGAGTGATGCGTGTTTAAAAGCAGGGTTCTTTTAAGTTTTGGGAAGTGGCTTTATATTAGGAATTGATAATCTTTGTGTTGTTCCACTCAACCAATCACATTTTACCTCATAGATTATATTATATTTTATTATATGCAAAAACCGCGAAAACCACAACTTGTATATTTTTAAGAAGATTCTAATTATTAAAATTACAATTTCATTGCTCGTGAAACGTTTAGTCATTTTAAATAGATATTTTTTTGAAATAAAAAAAGAATCCCTTTCTGATCTGCTTCAAGTTACAAGAATGAACACCAAGAAGAAAAATATTATCACGGAGAATATTTTGATCATCAACCAGCGATTAGAAGAAATGCTTGCATAGTATTTAAGTAGTTCTTTTTGTGCGCCCTCCACATTTGTCTGTATATCATCCGTGTTGGCATCAATTCTGTGAAGATAACGAGATATTTAGAAAATCGAAAACTGTCGATATTCTGATCTTTTTTTTTTTTTCTCATCTCTTACCTTTGAACAGTTTCCCGCTGTTCTGCAATCATTTGTGCCAATTGCTGGAAGATGTTACCCAACTCTGCAATTGTGGATTCAATAGATTCGATTGCGGTCACACGACTTTCGATGTAATTGTCCTTCAGCAGAGAAAGTTTATTTGAACAATTCGTAATCAGCTTTTTTTTTGGTAAGAGTGTAGGTAAATTTGGACACGTCGACATACCTGCTGTTCAATAAATTGTAGTTGCTGTTGTTGGGCCTGTCCGGATGACATGTCAAGAGCCAGAAAGTCGGTGTTGCGCTTTTCATTATCTCTTTGAGTGTTGTATAACGGAGAATCGGCTATCGTTCATTAAAAATGATGTGAGAATGATGATATGTGTTATATGAGAAAAATTTCGCTTACCTGCTGGAACATTTGCTTGTTGATTGCTCGAGAACATGAATTGCTCTCTCCTATCTTTACTATCCTTCATATTCTAAAGGAAACGAACGTCAGTTGTCTTTTGTCATGATTATCGCGGATTCGTGTTCCAAGGAATTTTGCCTCGCAACCATACCTGGGTTCTGATTTCTAACACATCTTTAAAACTCATGCTAGTGCTCGCCAATTTGGATTGCAACATCACCACCACATTAGAAGAATGTTCATCAGCCTGTCTGTTATTTTTTTTATGATCCCGAACGTATTGTTGGAGGAGGGCTATTTGTTTGTTTAATTTTGCAATGTCTTGTTTAATTATGTAAGTCAACTCCTGTAAAGTACAACGACACAAGTCAATTTTATGCTCAACTCGTGGAAAAAAAGAAATTTGTTGAAACCATACACTAATCTCAACCGGTCGATCGTCGAATAGAGTCTTCCGTTTAGCCACTGGAAATTATGAAACCTTATCAGTGAGCGATAATCCGACCGCAAACACTTCACTATTGGATTATATGATGGAGGCTTACATTTTGTTAATTTTTGTAATTTCATCGCTGTACTATTAATGTCCTTTCCAATTGCCCCGGCCATCCTAGAAAATTCGGTTCGGTTCATTCCATTAGAACCGTGGACGCTTTTACCACCATTACTGTTGTTGCCTAACAAAGGTCGACGATGTTCCAAGTTGTTCCTTGTCTGAAAGCCACCTTGAACAAATGAGGATCTTGAACGGATCGACTCTACAGCAGCGTAAAACTCGGCTGTTCTATCTTTTACGGACATGGTTCTTCCACTACTGTGAGACTTGGTGCTGGTTTAACCCACCTGCTGAACTTGACCAATGACCCTCTTGATGCAAACGATGAACAGGTTGAGAGTGAGGAAGGAGTGTAGTAATCTAGAGGTTTCGAGGGATTAAATATACATTTATAATTCTACGGTGTGCCACACTCCAACTGCAGAGTTGGTTCGGGAAATATTATCTAAAATTTGCTTGTCCAATGCGCCACTTTATATGGTGAACCCGTGCGTCACTGGATAAGTATGCACGTAATTACGTATACACTTGATAATTTTGAATAAATGTTTATGTTTTATACCCACCGTTACCATATGAGCAGCAAAGATGGGTAAACGTAAAGCTAAAAGAAAACCGATGCAAAAAAAGAAACTCGTCCTCGATACACAATTCAATTGCATTTTTTGTAACCACGAAAAAAGCGTTGATGTTAAAATGTACGGGTCCCGAGTTTAATCTATTTTTTCCTGAAAATGTCAGTTTTCTTTGTAAACACCTTTTTATCCTTTGAAAGAAATTTACTCGGACCTTTTAATTGTTACTTTTCCTCACCCAAGTAACATAATGATAACCAACTTTACTCTACAATAGGAACAGGGAAGATAAAGTTGGAAATTTAGCGTGCAGGGCGTGTGGTGCAAAATTTCAATCGATAATTAACCGTAATATTTTTGATATATATATATATATATTTTTTTTTTCGTTAAACATTCTATGCGAACTTTGCGTAACCCTTAATCTTCATTCTAGAACTGAGTGATCCTGTGGATGTATATTCGGACTGGGTTGACGCCGCGGAAATGGTGAAACCCGAAGGTGATGGTGGACATGGCGATTACGATGATGACCAACTTGATGATGAGGGTCTATTTCACTCTCGGGTTGCGGTCAATGTGAGGTCTCCGGATTACGGGGAAGACGATGAAGACGACCTCGAATGATTAGAGAATCAACTTGATGCCTATTTTTGTCATTTTTCCTTAGAATTTCGATTGATCTTGCGCAATAAAATATGCAAACAACAAAATTTACTTTATTGTCATCATTTATAGTAAACTCTTGCATGTAGTTAGTCTAAATAAATACGCATGCATAAAATATCCTCTAATTAAATTAAATTAGTTAATAAACCTAAACTTTGGAACTCAACGGGAACTCCGCGAACTTTGTTTATCGGAATCTGGAAATTCTCAAACGCGAAATACAAAATTCTCAGAAATGGTAAAATACCTAACCCAACGTTGAGGAACCAAAGCGTTATTCTTTTCGTAAACCTTCAACCGACGAATTTGTAAATTGGAACATGTATAATTTTGGATATCAAATTCGAGGCTTTAAAATGCCAAAAATCAAAAATTAATCCATCATGTATTTTTTACGAAAATTAATTGGAATTGTCTTACTTGATCGGTCCCACCTCTAGTTGAGCCACAGATGAAAAGGATGTTGCCCCTGTGATCTTTTTTCATGATTAAATGTTAGTGTTTCAGAGAGGCATCGTACATCTTATGATAAAAACGGGCAAGATTCTCTACCTTAATTTTTATTGATTTTTCGGCGCCGCCCCTTAACTTATTAATCGTCCAGTTGAATTTTCTCGTCCGACTTTCATATTGGGCCGATTGATCGGCTGAGCCATCCAATAGTTCATGTGAAACACTAATGCAATCAAGACCGAATTCACTTTAACGATAAATAATCACCATAAAGTACCATTTAAAGATCTCTTCTCGTGCAATTACGCCTACCTTTGAGTGTTACGTGGTAAAGGTACGATCACTGTACATTTTGTTGCGATCTTATCTTCCGGAAAGTCAGCTCGAATGCGTACAGTAATATCCATCCTATCCGGATGTCCAGGAACGTGCAAGACCAACGGGAATACCCGAAATGGCAAACTTATGTCGCCTGACATACGATAGCTTGAAAGGAAAGGAGAGTAAATTAAAAATGCTCAGTAAATTACACTATAAGTTACATCCACAAAGCTTACTTCATTGCTGAGATTTCACCTTCTGGAGGAAATATTGTAATTCTTCTATGTTCCTCAAAATCTAATAAAGTCGGAAGTTTTAATTTTCAGACCGAGAGTTGGCATGCATGGAGCTAATGCGAACCTGATGAGTCTACTGAATCATGAAATTTGTAATCATCAAATATAATTCCATGCCGTTCATCTATGCTTTCATAAATAAGGTGCCAACGTTATAATGTTATAATCATACAAGTAAGAAAATGTGATAATTTATGATTGATTATATGATTACCAGTGATCTCAGAATCTCGACCGAGCACAATATTGGAGTTAAGACCTAAACTAATTTCTGGATAACCTTGCAAATAACTCCTCACTTGTATCGCACCGTCAATTTCAGCCTGCACCGTCATTCCCTAAATTAATATGTCATTTCTTAGGACGAGCGGAAAGATTGATCCGTGTTATTGTTATTATTTTTTTTATTTTTTCTTTTTACTTACGTTTGAAGCAAATGAGGCAGTAATACGCTCAATCACATCAATAAAAATTTCATTACTTTTTTCATCACGCAAAGTTATTGGTCTATTGCTTGAATTCCCCATGTTGATACCAGGAGGTTTCAACTGAAGAACATATCAGGATTAGATATAGGTGAATAATTCTAATATTGCGATGATTTGATTTACAAACCTTGGCTAAGGAATTCATGATAATGTTTTCCCGTTTTATGAGAACGGGTTCCTCGTAAACGCATAACTTTAATTGATTTGTTGAAGTTGTCTGAGGATAACCGTAATCCTATTAGGTGTGAAAAAATTAAGCATTGTCTTCAGAAGCAAATTATCAATTGAACTACTCGGACCAACCGTCATGAATTGGTGATTCCCTTACAATGACTTCATCCAACAATTCGTAAATCAAACCCGAATTCAATCTTATAATCTCTTCGCTTAAGCTTCCGCAAAAATCTTTGATCAACGTTGTGATGCGGCCAAGCAGTTCAAATGTCATAAAAGGCGAAACGTTGAATCTCGTGGCGCACACAAAATACAACTCCTGTACAGTGATAAATATAAGCTGTACACCGTCAACGTTAAAAACCGGTGGTGGATCTTGTTCCGAACCGTTTTCCTTATGCCATGTCATTAACTTATCGAGAAGAAGGTCGGGTGTGTCACGAGGAGTATCATGACGAACTAAGAATATTGCAACGAGGTCAAGTAATCAATCGCTTATTGATTTATTATTAGCACAAATCGAACGGTAACTTTAATGCTTACAATCGCGAAAAATAAGTGTATCGCCTCGTTGTGACGATAAGATAAAAAATTGGGAAATCATTTTCGGATTTTTTTTTTGGCCAATCTATGCTAAAAATAAATGTAAATAAAAATTATACTATAACACTTTATTAATTTGATTAACCAGATAATATAAAATTTACAGATAATCAACTGCAAGTTACGCAAAAAGTAAAACGGTCTCGATGAACATGTCAAAGAGAATTTTCAACGCCTTTGGCTTTTTTAATGCGTTTTCGAATAATTATAGCACCAAAGTCAAGCATCCCGTTTCGAGGTCACAGGTTCTTGGCAAGAGTTTAAAATATCCAAATGAAAATCGAAAACCACGAATTCCTAGCCCAAAGCTCAAGCCTCTACCGAAGCCAACTGGTCGAGTTGTCCGCCGGGCAAAGAAGGAAGTTAACATATCAAATCGTAAACTTTTTAAACAAATTGAACCTCCTCAAGAAGTACTTAAAGAGATATTGGCACTTAATCTCGCCAAACCAAGGAAATACAAAATAGGTCGATACGATACCAAAGTAGCAGCCATAGGAAAGAAAAAGTTGGAACAAAGACTTTCAAACGTAGAGTTCGAGAAAGACGAACATTTGGAGGTAACCGCACACGTTTCGTACGGCGACTTCGAAACAATGAAACATTTACCCCACGTTTACATATCTGTTTGGTAAAAGTAAAGTTTCCCCATTTGAGCTTCTTTGCGGGCGCAAAAGTGGCAACCTCCTTTCCAACTGAGAAAGTGCCGGAAATAGCATTTGTTGGTGAGCAATACGATTTGAACTAAGATGAGAGAAAGTTTTTTAAACAAAATATTGTATTTGTCTCCAGGGAGATCGAATGTGGGCAAATCATCTTTGATCAATACATTAGCCGATACCACAGTGGTGAAAACATCGGACAAACCGGGATTAACGCAACAAATCAATTTTTTTGCTGCCGGCAATATATTTAACTTGATCGATATGCCAGGTTACGGATTTGCCTACGCGAAAGAGGAAGAAAGATTGCGATGGAAGGAGTTGGTTGGTTTTGATTAAATAATCGTTGCCCAAAGTTAACTAGATGGGTTTTTTTTTTTAAAAACATTCTTTTAATTCCCGAAAATAGATAGAAACCTATATTTCAACCAGGAAAACTTTGAAAAGGATTTTTATAATAGTTGACGCGAGACATGGTTAGTTTGCAATCCTCAAACCATCTCGTACTGGTTATAAATAACGTTGATTTTGGAAAATTCACAGGGATAAAATTAGAGGACAAAAAATTCCTCTCGATGCTGGACCAGTAAATGGATTTCTATTTTATTTCTATTCGAAATGGTTTAAGTAAAAAACTAATATACGCATTTCTCGCATGTCTCACGTGCATAGAAAAGAGGTAGAATTTCAGATTGTATTAACCAAGTGTGACATGGTAATTTCACCAGAATTGGCGCGCCGATATACCCTTGTCAAAGAACAGCTGAAGATTTACAGAAACGTAGTCGAGAAGCCATTAATGGTATCAGCCAAAAAGAATTCCGGGATCCTTAAGTTAAGAAATATAATTTTGGCTATGGTAGGAGGGTTGGAAAGGGCGAGGGAGGTCGCCAACAGAAAAAAGGCATTCATGTTTACTGGTGTCGGATTACCGAAGAAACCGTTAAGGGGAATCGATGGTTTCCCGAGGAAACCTTTGCCAATGCGACAAAAAGGGCCATCATATTATTTTGATCTAAGAAAAAATTTCAAAAATTCAGGTAAACAAATGAACAAGAGAAAAAAATTAAATAGAAACACAACCCTTCGAAAGTATGTAGGCATGTAATACCTGATGATTTTTTCTCAATTCCTATTAGAATTGCAGAGAAAGGGAATAAGTAAATCTTTCCATAATTCATGCATTAGATAACTAAGCATCAATGTTTTATGCATGTAGCACAACATTCACAATTTCTTATAAGTAGACATCATTTTCTACTAACACCGATTCTCCCTTTGCTGTATCCCAACAACATTTATTTCCCATCTCTTGAAACACATTAATGAGTAAACTCTTCAAAGAGTTCTCCGGATGTTGCAGAGAGATCGAGAACGCCCGAGCATGAGACAGATAACGTACAACGGCTCCGTTCTCCATAATTTCTTCCACCTCACCTCTTTGAATTTTTTTCTTTCTTAGACATAATGCCAAAGTTGAAGTCATAATTAATGAAATCAATAAATATTCTTTTTTTTTTTTTTTTGAAGAAAAAATTATTACTATAACCGCCGTTGCGAGAAATCTTGTTTTAATAGTCTAATATTTACACACAAAATTAACTTCATATTAATACTAAAGTAAAAAAGAAGGTTCTCACACTAAAATGTATGAAATTCCCTCTGCTTATAATTACCCATCCAGCAAAGATTAAATATTTGCATGAAAGTTTAGTCGGAATTTAATAATCGTCCCATTCTAATTTCAATTATCATCCTCTCCCTAAAATATGGCATCAACGCTTGAGAAAATGACAGACGTGCCCGGCGAGCCAAATGCTCTAAAGTCACCATTGCGAACACCCCACAATCGTCTGTATTCGATTGTTGAGGCGAGGTCGACTGATAGGATAATACATTTGTTAACAGAATTATTACTTGAAAGAACAGACTTGCGTAAAAATTTCATTTTACCCGAAACTCTTTGACATCCCAATTTTCAAAATCAAACTCGGTATTGTTGGTTTTTATGGCCATGAACTTAAAAAATTCTCTTAAATTCTAGGAGTGAAGAACACGAATAAAAAAACCATCCTTAAATAAAAACAACTAATACAAGAACTTCATTTTATACCAATAAAAAGCCCGGCCTAAATCCGGCACCAAGAGAATCATACATTTCGAAACGTTTTAATTCAAAATTGACAACGGCTAATGTCCAATGGACGGTTGTGTTAATCGGTATAAATATAAGCTTTTTATCAAACAAATTTGGTGGAGGAACCTGAAGAAAAAATAAATATAAAGTTGAATACATAAGCTCAACAAAACAATAACCAAGAAATAATAACCTTTTTCTTCGATTTCAAAAACCAGCGAGACACCCTCTCTACACCGTTGTCATCCATCAGCGTAGTGTAGAAGAAGGTGTTTACTATGTGAATTGGTGGGAATTTCTCGGAACACGATTTTGCTCTTTCCGTGACCAGATTGCAATAAAAATTTATGACCTTTAAAGCATCAATTTTTAGATAAGGCACGGTCTATGTTCATGGGAGAGAACATGAAAAGATCTTTATACCTCATCATTCAACCATGAACCGATAGACAGTGTTTGAATGTCTTGAATCTTGATGGATATATTGAATTTCTCAATAATCACGGTATTTTGCTTATATTTGATACCATCCGGATTTAGTAGAATCTTAACCTGCTTACAAACTTGGAATCAGTATAACTCAAAATATACGAGGATATTTAGATACTTGCTATAATGACCTGATTCTTTTGTTGTTCCGTCAAAGGTGGATAGAGATCGCCAGTTAATTCCGACAATGTGAGTTGTTTTAATCGATTTTCAGTCTGATGATTTTCGAGTGAAAAAAAAAACTTCAGTATAATTATTACATGTAAATGTTCGATGATATAACAAAATTTACCTTAGACTCCTCTTCTAACTGACGTTTGTCAATTAACGGAGTGTGACGACGGGCATTACTACAATTCGCATTCAAGTAAAGTAATGACAAAACGACGTTAGGGACAGCTCAAGAAAACGAAATTTATTTAAAAAATCATTTTTACCGTATTAGTAATCTGTCTCCGTTAATATGTTTTGAGTGAAGCGGTTCTTCGCCATTAGAACGATTTGGAAGAAACGAATCATTGTCTATATCAAATATCCTCTTATTTTGTGGCGTGCGCATACTACTTTTAGGAGTTGTAAACTCTTTTTTTTTTGAAAAAAAAAACAGAGTCGTTTCATTGGTCAACTAAAATTAAACTTGAATTCTCTTACAGTCTAAAGGCAGATTGTATATACCTTTTAACCGTCGGCTACCCAATCTATTCTCATACGTATGTATAATCTTTCTTCCAATTACTATTTACATTATAAGTAATCGATAAATAATACTATTCGTAAAACTGAGGTAACATTGTTTAGCATTAACTTACTTATTTCTTCGTCAATGTCCATTTGATTTTGTTTAACATTATGCTTTTCTGAAGAGATCTCTTGAGAGCGAGTTTTGCGAATCAGGTCTTGCGTCACCCGACTAAACTGCAACTCTAATGAATTGAATTGGTGGTTTATATTTGTTCAATTATCCTTATTGAAGTCCCTTAATCAGCTTCCTACCATTGATCTCCGACTGTTTTACCGATATGGATCGATCCGACGTTGATTTAAACGATGTCACTCTCCTGTGACTATATGTGTATTTGACATCTAATTTTTGGTATCAAGTTCAAAAAGTAAGAACCTAATTTCATTAAACGAACGCAACCTTTAGTAGTAGTAATCACCTTTTCTTGAACTTAGAGGTCTTTGTTGAAACGTGTAATTGGGTGTTGAAATAATTGCTAAATGAATAATATGATGGATGCGCTTAGAAAATGCCACGTAAAAAATTTCCCGATGAGATAAACTTTATTATTACGTTTACTTATAACTTCCTTGATGAGTTTTTTTTTTTCTCTCTTAATCTTTTCTAATCGTTTTCCCTATATACGTTTGGTGAAAAACTCTAATTAGTTAATATTTGACTTCTGTCGGGAAACGCTTCGTAGATTGGAAGAAAAATGCACCTGATATATCTTTTGTTTTTTGTGACCTCTTTTGCAACTTTCTAAAGTCTTATCATAATCTTCACTCCTCGATGTGCACATAGATTTGTCATTTTTTGCAGATTCACTTTTTGAGGCGAGTTCAGATTCGCCTGTCGATGTAAATGTCCGTATAAAGTAATTTGAACTGTCAATGGTGGGTTCGTAACAGCTGTAGCCACTTTTAAAAGTGTTCAGATTGTTCAGGTATGCGATAGAACTTTGTGACATGTGGAAGAAGTAAGTTCGAAGATTTTAGATTTATTTTTGAAGTAGGCAACATTCTGTACTTGATATAAATATCGACGTGTCGCACATGATCTTACATCGTTACGTAATAAAAATGTGTGATTCGTTCTGCGCCATTTTAGTCAATTTTGTTAACGCAAATTAATTAAGTTTTCCCCATTCATTGTTCGGATCTACAATTCCATTATCGTTGTTTACGAGGCGCGTACATACAAGTGAATTATGCATCGTCAATCTTTTATTTGTTTAATATTTCATCTCGAAATTCTCGAACAGCGCATACACAAACAAACACGCGTAATTAGGCTTGTCTTTTCTGAGATGAAATTAATATTGATTGACTTTGACCTCGAAACTCGATGAATTGCGTCAAGTTGTACTAAAATCGTTAATCATATGTTAGTTCATTCATTATATTCACGTGTTTTATTAAGTGTATATTGTATATCTGATGTCATAAAAGCTTATTAAAGAATTTTTTTTTTTTTATTTTGAATTTTATAATCAAATTAAATTGAATCATTATAATTAAAAAATAATCTTATACTGATAAATAAAAAAACTTTTTTTCACTTTCTTTTCTTTTGCTTGAAAATTTTCTAAAAAGAAAATTTTTGAGTTGTTTACTTTTTTTATCACTTTTTTCTTTTTTTTTTTTTTATTCTTTTTTTTTTTTTTTTTTTTTGCAAATAAGCATAAAATGTGAGACTTTATTTACTAAATGATAGTACTGTCATTACATTAAATATTTACTAAAGTTAATGCTAGCTTATTGCTTTTTTATTCCAATATATCAATTGCACCTTGTGAATAGATTTACATGCCAAGAAGGAAGCATCAAGAGGGTGAAAATCCTGCTTTCAGTTTTAAATTACCTAATCTTGTGTCTCCAGTTTTTGTAAAGGTCTGATTGTGATTTAGCATATTAGTTGTTATTAGGTTTCTTTTCATATTCCTACTATCTGCTTACACAATTTATGGTACTTATGGATTTATTATTTTACACTTCCTAGTAAATGTTTCAAGAATTGTTTCTATAGTTAACACACACTACAAATCTGAAGACCTACAGGCCTAGTAGAACATGATTCCTAAATCCTCCAATGAACACTCCATAGACTCTTGATTGGCTTTAGCTATCAAATCTAGGAGTACAAATACCAAGCAAAGTGTAACTTCTATAAAACACCACAGTGATTCTCCATAATTGGCACTATATATTAATTCTCTTCAAAGTTACTTAAGTAGGTTAACATGTTTCTTGCTATGGAGTCTACTATGCTAGTTAAGGTTGATAGCTATGGTTCTATCCATATTGGTGGCTTGGTAGCTGATATGACATAATCCTCTTCTGCTGATCTTTTGGAGGAAAGAAACTGATCATGGTTTTTCATATTTATAATGAGGAGAAATGTATATCTATCAACTAAAACATCCAAAAATAAGTTTTTACTAAAAAAGCCTACTATCTTAAGTAAAGAAAAACCATTTCCAGTCTGATTAAAAATAGTAGAATAGTGTAGTGTGATAAGGTTTGAAATGGGTGGTTCTAAGAAGAAAAATTCTCAAGAAGGAAGAAAAACCTGCCTAAAGGGAAGGGGTAAAGGGAGTTAGGAAAGGGAATAGATGAGTGGATGAAAAAATTTATTCTTTTTTTTTCTTTAGACTTATTGATATTATTCAAAAATATAAAAAAAAAAAATTTAAAATTTATATTGAGCCTTGAATAATATCTAATTATCTAATTAAATAAAAGATATTATAATTATTTTATATAAATTATTCTTCAAGTTATAATTAGAATTGACATATTTGCTTTTCAAATATAATTTAATATATAACAAGTAAAGTATTGTTTTGTTTTATATTTCAATTAAATATTTAACTAAATATTTAAATAATTACTTTCTTAATTAGATACTATTAATAAAGATTAATCTTTTATTTAATATATCTAAAATTGATTTTTTTAATTTTTCTTTAAAACTGTTTTAAATTAATTAAATCTGAATTAAGTTAAAAAGAAATAATTGTACTTTACAAAATATTCCACATATAAAGTTATATTATTTTGATATTTAAAGAAGATTTAACTTAAATAAAATATATAATAATAAATTATAAACAATAATTTCAATATATGAGTAATTATTTTCGAAAGTGGATCAAAAATTTTCTGATATGATCCTAAAATTTATATTATATATGTATTGTTTAAAAGCTAAATCTAAAAAAATTATATTTAATATTTTTGTTACCTTCAAAAATAATTATCCATATATTTTAAAACAAGTATATTAGAATAAATAATTTTATTTATTTTTATAAATAAATATTAATATTTTTTTAATTATAAAATTATTATATAAAAAAAATAATAATATCTTTTATATAACTTACTAAATTAGACCTGTGAATCTATAATATAGTAGTTAACACTTTACAGATCAAATTACAAGATACCAATTCAATCCCAAGTAAAAGCAGTTGAATAAAATTAATATAGTATCTGATGTTATAATTTGCTTAAGAACTATTTCTCATGAGAAGCTGATTTACATGCTAATCCAATAGACATTAAGATTATGATCATTTTATTTGTGCACATTTGTACTGTTTTTTCTATCCTTATTCCTTTTTTATTTCTTGCCCCTTGTATAGTTTCTGCAAAAGGAAACAACATAATTTGGGTTTATGGTCATGACTATAGAGATGATCTGCAGGATATAATCCTTATAACATAACTGTATTTCAATTCTAATTATTAGGCTAGCAATGTATCACTCCCATAAATCGTATCTAAAGGCTTAGACTTAAGACAAGTGAGTTGGGTTAAGGAATGTATACTTTGCATATATTCTTGTATGTGTAATGGTTCTTTATAATTTAATAAATATAAGATACCAGTCTAATTACAGATTAAAAAAAAAAAAAAATTTCATATCTTATTTAAAAAATTATTATAAACTATATTATAAGATAAACTAACCAAGTAATTATACAATATAGACTTATTAAATTTTTCAATACTATATAATAAATAAATTAAAATAATATAATATCTCCTCTTTTCTGAAGACCTACCCGGTCATAGTCCAGTGGGCTAAGGCAGGATAGGGCTAACCTATGAACCACGGTTCAACCCCAGCTGGA